TGGCAACATAAAAAATAAAGGAAGCCTTATTTGAAATACGATCAATCATTCAAGAGGATATACGAGTTTATCAAATATTTAGATATTAATATGACTTTCAAATAATTAATGTCCTCTTAGAGTTTCATTGCTCATTGTTGCAGGGTCATTTTTGGTAAGCTGTACATCTTAAAGACAAATACAAATAATCATAGAAAAACCGCTAAAACTTTCATCAGGTTATCAGGTTGGTCGGTTGCTTTGGGCCTAACTCAATTTCAACCCAATAGATTCGGTTTGCCCAGTTTTGTACCGATTATATGGTGGGTTACTTCGGGTTTTTTTTTCGAATTAGGTTGGTCGGATTGATATGGTGATCGATTTTTTGAGCACCCTTAGTTTGAGTTGCCATACCATTTATCAAGGTGTTGTATATGAAAGTTGATTGATTTATAGAGTATTAAAACCATCTCCTAGATTTCTTTAAAATAAAGAAAATAGAAATTCATACTATTTTTCTGTTTCAATAGATTTTCTATATTATTCTTTAAAATAGAAAAATATCTAAAAATTAATATATTGAAAGAGAAATATATTTTTTAATTCTTTTTCGGATGAAACTGAGGGGGCCGTTTACTAAATACTTACCCGATAAGTGCTTACCAATAAAATTTAACACTATTATTTATTTACTGGGTAAGATTTTAGTCCACCAAAACGACATCGCATGCAACAATTTACCCGGTAAGTGCTTATTGTGGTAAGAGTCGTCATCCTCACTTATCGGGTAAGACTCTCGGTCTTTGTCTCGCTCTTTCCGGGTAAAATTCTTGGTCCTTACCATATTCGTCAGGTGAGATAACGTGACTTAATTGGTAGACACTTACCTGAGTAAGCATTTGGTAGACGACCCCTGAGTGTATTATTATTTTATATAAAGTTTTTTAAAAAAGTGCATTGGGATGATAAATTAAATTACATAATAATTAGTGATGAAATCTATAAAAGAAAAAGAATTTGTTGGAATTTAGGTGAAATTTATTTAAGATATTTTAACTTTTAATTCTCTATTATAAAAATATTATAAAGGATGTATTAAACATGTTAATGCGACGTTTTGTATTAGAAATGCTCTAAAAATTTGTTAAGACGTCCAAAAATGACTTAAAAACTTGTAAAGACACCCAAAAATGACCTGTAAACTTATTGCAACGTCTTTAGATTGAACATTTTATTTTTTGGTCCTATAAATTAAGTTTTAATAAGCAGTGTATTAAGACGCTTAGAAATTGGTGCGCCCTATAAACTCAATTTCGTTGTAGTGAAATACGTAAACTTTTGTGTTCAATCTATAAAAGATATTAAGGGCCTTTACCAAATGCTTACTAGGTAGGCTCCTATTAGATGTCACTTACCTTACCTAGTGAATATGACAGTGACTGAGAACTTACTCGGTAAGTGAAGAAAATGACTCTTACCTAGTAAGTGCTTACCTGGTAAATGACCTTTACTAGCAATACATTTTGATGGTTAAAAATGTTGGCCAATAAAGTAAATAAGAATGTGACTATTGCTGATAAGTGTTTGGTAAACGACTCCTAAATCTAATTTATTATAAACCCCTCCCCATCCCCAACTTTTAAACTTTAAGAATCCCCATCTCCATCCCGATCCCTGTGCAACTCATACATTCCTTAGTTTCAAACTTCCAGTATTTGTTCAAGGATCATTCTGATTATTATTATTTGTGTTATTTCTCTCAAAATTATAAATAAACATATGCAAACTTTTGGACCAGATTCCATATTTGTATAAACATATACCGATACATATAAAAATTAAACTCGTACGAATAAATCCATTCCCACAATATATCTAACGGATACAGATTAGTGACGGACCTTAGCTTTAACCATAGGAGGAAATGTCCTCAGTCAAAAACCAAAAACTTTTGTTGATTAGCTTAAATTTTCTAATTTCACCATCATCTTACATGGTTTTCCGGAGTCCCATATAGCGGTGGCCATATGCTTCCGACCCTAATCTCTCTAGATTGAATATTGCTTCTTGTATAATGTGTTGTTATAGAAATTTTCATTTGTGTATAATTTTTTCAGAATTTTGAGGTTTCGATTTCTATATATCTTTTATCGGAATTTATTTTTGAATTTTGCTTATGTTMTGTATTTTTTTTCGGTTCTATATTTCCCTGTTATGTATTAGTTGTTTTGGGCTTGTTTGTAGATTTGTAACTTTGATTTMTTGTTGTAGACAACCACAACTTAACATTGTTTGTAGGTTTATGATTTTCTATAATGCTATGTTTTGAAGCAAGTTGTAGAATTGTACCGTTTTTTCTTTTTTTGATTAACCTGGATATTCAACTTGTTATGTGAGCCGACTAATCATAGGGCGACCACCTGCTTTGCAGTTAGCCCGGAGTCACCGCATTTGAACCTCCGTTGCCACAAGGGGATTTTTATTCCTCCTTGGATTTGAACCTGAGACCTCCTGGTACTTTTGATCTTTGGAGCCAAGCTCAAACCAATCAGGCACCACCCTTGTAGTTAGCCTTGTACTGTTGTATGTAGTAGAATTTGAAGTAGGTAATAAGATAAACAACTGTTAATTAAGCATTTGCTAACTTCTTCAACTATTTGTTAGAAAATAGAAAAATTTTCGGGAAAAAAAATTATCAGCATATGGATCCAATATTGTCTGTACTAGAGGTGAATCTTCAACTGAAAACATCTAGTGTATTATTTCCCGATCTAGGTTATTTATAGTGATACGACACTTGTTATGTGCCCCTACTGGCCTACTCCATTAATTTCTTGGAGATCCGCCACTAGTATTAGATCATCTTACGATACTTGTTAGCCCACACTATTCATGGTGTATTCTTACCCGGCTAAACATGTTACCAATACATGTGAGTTGATAGTTGATAATTTAGAGATGGTCATAATCAGTTTTTGTTGGGTCAGACCTAAATTGGTCCCGGTCCCAAAATGGCTTCCCATAACTAAGTCCGGTCTTGTGTTTCGTAACCGGTCCCTAGACCAGTCCTGGTCACGTGTCAGGCCTAAACCGGTCCTATTTTTTTCTAGAACTTAAAAAAAAATCATGTTTGAAGATTTTTTTTTGGACGATAATCTTATTGAAATACAATATAAAATCTCTAATTACGTCATTCAAATACACTTTAAAAATATTTTTTTAAATCCTTTTTACAGAAAAAAAAAATGTTATAAATGTTTTTATGGTTACAAATTTTGAGATTTAGTATAGGAATACTTGCAAAAAGTTGAAAAACTTCAAAAAAAAATATGAAAAACTTGATATATAATTTATAAAAAATATTTATTTTAAATCGGGCCTATGTAAGGTCACAGGGGCTATGAGACCCRGCTTAGGAATTTGGAGGTCCCAATCGGACTAGGCCTTGTTTTGGATGAAAATTGTAAACTGGTTAAGGACCGTCGGGCCATAGTCGGTCCCAAATTCTCCTCTGGTATATCTTCTCGTCATGAGGGTCAAAATTGTAGTCTTTTACTCACTTAACTTGTGGACCCCTTGAAATATGTCATCCTTGCCAAGTCTTAGGCTTTGTTCTACCGCTTTGGGCCTCATGGATCAAATGAAAAGCTTTCTCTCTTGGACCTTCCCTTACCCCTACTGGCCCATTATTCAGTCTCTCTCCGCCCTCTCATGCGGACAAAATATAGGCCTTTCTTCCAGCCCATGAATAAGTCTTCATCCAAAATTGGGCCTACCCTGAGGCCCACAAAGGACACAACACTCTCCCTCCATAACAGCCTTCTTTCTCTTCCATGTCTCGCCTTCATGATACTTTTCATCGCCGCACTTGACCCCATGCAGCCAGCCTTTGCCACCTTGTTTCTCCCTGTTATATCCCCATGTGCCCCCAGCGCCGTTTGCTGAAAACCACCATGGCCTCTGTTGCTGCCCCACCTTCTCTCTTGCTTAAATCATGATCACCCATATCCTGGTCCCTGCTCCCAATCATTGTCTAGGTTGGCTGTCGGCATTGCCGCCGTCTAGGGCATGACTTGGCCACCCTGGCTTCGCTCCCCCTTCGCTTTCCATTCCCACTCCCTTCCTTTTCTCTCAGGTTTTTCTTTTCTCACCAGTTTCCCCTTCATCCATCATTGTTGCAGGTGGCGTCCTTTGTGTAGTATGCATCTCCTATATATTCATCATTAGCTTCATGGACAAAAATCCAGCTTCAACCTTTTTCTTCATCCCTGAACTTTCTCCACCATGGTTGACCGGACTTCCTCATCCTCTTATCTCTAGTTTTTTGAATTCTTCACCCTTCTAGGCTGCCATGACCTAGAAGCAGCCTTTGATACCAATTTGATTGGGACCAGAAGAAGATCTATTGGATACAGATGCACAATTACCAAATGAATGGAAAATATACCTACTCTCTAGAGGTTGGTACTCCATAAGAATCGGTTTCCTATCGTCTATTATCAAATTCAACATACGTTCTTTTCCCAGCTCCTTATTATGGACTAATTCTATTATGTTAGTAATATAGTTCCTATATTACCCTAATATGGTTGCCATATCTTGTGTCTAATTAATCCTATGATTGTGCCTGGAAAGCGTGACACCATGTCTAACAATTGACGACTTAATAGAGTTCACTAATAATGTACTTTGGTTTTTGGTTCAACTAAATGAGGCAGCTTGGATTGTTTAGCGACATGGCTTTAACTTTGATGCATTTACTTTTTCCTCACACCAACTAGTATACTCTACCCACTTCTCTCTTGTAAGACTTGAACACCGTGCCTGACCTTGAAGTTTTGATGTTTGGGTTGATACCATATCATGTGATGCATCTACGTATTCACAATTGGCTATTCTCAGAAGAAAATGTTGCTTGTAGTAGTATTTTACTCAGTATGGGAATATTTGCATGAGCAATTAATGATGCATATCAACCAGACTGCCTTCATTACCACTAAAATACTACTGCTCTTTTCATGATGCAGCTTGCAGTATTGGCTGGAGATTTCTTGCTTTCTAGAGCTTGTATCACACTTGCCTCTTTAAAAAACACAGAGGTATCCATTTATTTATGTCTTTATACACGCGACTTGCATCTTCTAACATGGTTGTTTATAAATGTTCATTGAATTCCACTGTTGGTTGCAGGTTGTATCACTAATAGCAACTGCAGTGGAGCATCTTGTTACTGGGGAGACGATGCAAATGAGCACATCAGCAGAGCAGCGTAGTAGGTATGCTACTTCTCTGGTGGTGTAATCTGCATTGGAGAGTTTAATCCATTACAATAAAGTGGGTCTTATAGGATGCACCACCATCCTTGGGCATCCTAACAAAGTACTTAATTACACTTTAAGTTTATAGGACCAGAAACTGTGTGCTCTATCTGAAGGTGTTACAATAAGTTGTTAGGACGAAGTAAAGCGACTTGACAAATTATATGGACGAAGTTGGAGAAACTAATATGACATAAAAAGTAAATTGCCCTATTAGCTTTTTATAGGACACTGTTGAAAGGTGCCTAAACTTGTTAGGTGGCATATATAACAACTTATTGTAACGTCCGAGATAGGACGCTCAATTTTGGTTCTATRAACTTAAAGTCTTGAAATACTCTATTAGGACGTCTGTGYGTCTTAAAAGGCACATTTTSTTGGTGGTCAGTGTAATATCRCTGTCTAGGCATGAAGTGAAGGTAGAAGATCGTAAATATTCCAGCCTCATATCCATATGTTATCAAAGTTAATACCTTTGTGATCGTTGATGGACTGTTTCACAATGTTAGTGAAATTGCCCTATTAGCTTTTATAGGACACTGTTGAAAGGTGCCTAAACTTGTTAGGTGGCCTATATAACAACTTATTGTAACGCCTGAGATAGGATGCTGAACTTTGTTTCTATAACTTAAAGTCTTGAAATACTCTATTAGGACGGCTGTGCGTCTTAAAAAGGCACATTTTGTTGGTGGTGAGTTAATATCGCTGTCTAGGCATGAAGTGAAAGTAGAAGATCGTAAACATTCCAGCCTTATATTCATATGTTGTCAAAGTCAATACCTTTGTGATCGTTGATGGACTGTTTCACAATGTTAGTGTTTGAGGTTGGACATACTTCTCTTTCAATTTTTCGGTTGATTAAATTTTTGCCATTGCAGTATGGATTATTATTTGCAGAAGACATACTACAAGACTGCATCGCTGATATCAAACAGCTGCAAATCCATTGCCCTTCTTACTGGGCAAACTGCAGAGGTGTCTATGTTGGCATACGAGTACGGGAAAAATCTGGTCTGTAAGCATCAAGAATGTAGTTATCGTATGTTATAGATAATTTTCCGAAGCATAACATGTGGTTCGTTTTGGAAAGCCATTTACCAAACGGACATGACTCATGAGTATAATTTTGAGTAACATTCATGCTTGTTTTCTTAAACGGAGAAGCAAATGAATTTTTTGAAGTTCAATGAACTGATATTTTAATGTTATCAATGGTCAATATGAATCACTTGCCAACAATGTGGTTAATGGTGATGCATTGTCTATTGGCATATCACTCGAACCGGCCAATATAATTGTAACTCTGACTCATCATCTTCTCTTTCCTGCAGGGTTTGGCGTTCCAGTTAATC